TAATGGTTATTTTTTGGAGCTTAAACGGATGGTCCACCCATCATTCCAAACCTGTATGTGTTTCTTTCTTTTGTGGAACTCAAAAGAGGATATTTTGAGGATTTGTGGGAACCAAACAATATTGGAGCCCATTAACTTTTATTGTATACAATATATGGGGAAAAACATATATAGACAAAAAAACCTGATACATTACTCAAAATATCTCCTTTTATGTGCTACACAGAAGAAAGAAAGTCCAGTTTTGGACATGAGGGTGAGTAAATGATGATAGAATTTTAATTTTTGCATGGAGTATCCCTTTAACTGCATTTGAGCCCATTCAAACTTTGTACACCATCATATAAAATACCTTTTCTGATTTCATACCAGGACAAATATAGTTTAGCATTTCTATTTATGTCCCGTGTGTATCATTTTTGTCAAATCACACTTTTGAGTTCATGAGTAATTGCAAATTTACATACTATAAATAACTTTTCAGTATTTCTGGTTGTCACTGAAATATTATGCTGTCATGTGGAACATTTGAGAGGAGCATGAGGAGATTGTCTCCATATCTATCCAAATGTCAAATCAAAACTTGTCTCGTCTGTTAATATTGTTTATAAGATGTTGTCATGTGTTAAAGGCTTGAAGCAAAGTCACGGTCAGAATCGAGACTCTTTTGATTTCTTCCAGTTGCTTCTCAGGGGAGTTTTGCAACAAAGTTAACCCTGCTGCACGTTTCCTTCTCGTTTTCTGGCTTCTCTTAGTAAAGTCTATCTAAAAATAGCCAGCAGCACAGCAAAAAAAATCTGAAATGTCACATTTCATAGATGAAAGACGAAAAATTTGATTTATTTATATGCATGGCAATATTTATGTATTTCCACAATGTTGCTATTTTCCACTTTCAGTCCATCTGATGCAGTGTAGATCTGGCAGTTTCCTGCCTTTGGCATGTTAGCTGCTGATGCTAAGACACCTGATGGACAAGCAGCCTCCACCTGAGCCCTTACGGGACACTTGACCGCATGACATTTCCACCCCAGGATCTGGCACGGCTACCAGCTGTACCTGGGGAAACTAAAGCATCTGCATTTCAATTTACACATCAGAGAACAACCAACATTTTGACAAGTGAATGAACAAGATATTTTGTGGTGTTACACATATGATCCATACTTCACAAAACAACTCAATAGCCCATTTTACCACAATTACAGTTCAGGCAATTATTCTACAATGATGAAGGAATCATTGTACTTTATTTAACTTATATAGCTGACTGAATTGCTTTTGAACTGAAGACCCTTATTATAAGATGAAGTACAGCACAACAGTAACTCAGCTGAGTTTATTTTCTCAGATGCTGTCAGGGTGGGAAAATCAACAGTATTGACATTTAAGCAAAACCTGAGCACAGATTAATTTGATAAAAGACTGTCATTCCAGGTACATCTCAGTACTACAGACTCACACAATCCATAGATTTCTTTACGGTAGATGGCGACAAGCAATACATTTCAGATAAGCCCACTGCAGTTAAACAGAATTGATGAATTTGAGATATTCAGCCCTGTCTTAAAATGTAAATAAAGTTAGATCTATCTTACATCTCACATTATTGTATGAGAACAAAACCTGAACTGACTGGAGCTAAATAATGACACCATTGTCTTGCTACAGCTGCTTTATAGCAGAATTTCGATTTGCCTCTTTTTTTGAAGTTTGCACCATTGATTCTGCTACTTTCCTGTTTATTCCTGTGAAGCTGCTTTAAAACTATATTGTATAAAGTGGTATAAAAGTAATGGTGACTTGACATTAAAGGAAAAGTAGACATTGTTCAAGTCCTTTTAAAACAAAGTTTCTACTGTGATCTACTGTCTTTTAACTTGTATGTCTTACGTTGATCGTGACAAACTAGGACAAACTTATATTCTTTTTTTTTTTTGGAATGGACAATCAGAAGCTTGGTTGAGGAAAGGCGTGTAAAAAAGTCATTTTTTGCCCCATTTCTCAGCCTCACGAAACTTATTGCAGCTTTATATCTCACAATATGACTTTAAATCTCACAATGTGATTTTATATCTTGCATTGGGACTTTATATCTTGCAATTGCAATTTTATTTCTCTTAAATTCAAATTTTATATCTCAGACTGTGACTTTACTGTAAATCTTACAATATAACTTTGTCACAATGTAACTTTATTTCTTAAACTTTTTCTAACTATAACTTTTTTTTTTTTTTTTGCTCCTAGGCAGGAATGGGCTTCCAAATGAAGTACTACTGTCATACACTGTCAGAAAACATTATGCATCAGGTACTATTTAAAACTAAAACGTTCTCTCTTTATTTGTCAAGAATGTTTAAACCCATTTGCTTCCCTTACAGGTGATCATGTGTTGTAAGTGGCTTCCAGTGTGTCAAAATGCACAAAAAGTTTGCGCAGTTCGGCTGGAACATGTTTGAAGAGTCACACTGGTTTTTCCTCCTGTCAGTATGCATCATCACCTGGCCTGCTCTAAAATAGCACTATGGTATTTTTAGTTTCTTAAAAGCTGCCATGTGCACAAAGTGATTTAGACAATTTAGAGTTCCTTTTGAGCTAACAAAAAATGAGAGGCAGACAGCAGATCTTTAAAGCTGGGACGACAAAAAAAAAAGTACTGAAAAAAATTTACTAATTTGTGAAAAAACACATTTGTGTTACATGACAGCATCCCGGCTGATCTTTTTTCAAATATTGTAGTATATATTTAGTTTTGCACATGCTGTACAGGTGCAAAAGACATCATGTTTAAAATATGTCTGCAATCAAAGAACAAGAAGCTGTGTGTAGTTTATAGCACTGATTTAACACGTATATTATTAGTAGCCTACTTCAGCTGAAACACCTGGGTTCTGCCATTTAATGCTCTCATGAATGGGAAAACCAGTATGTTTTTATCCTGGATTATGGGTTACAGTAGGGATACGACATGTGGAATCGTCTCCTTACAGGTGGAAAGTTTAATTTGCACTGTCAGGTGAACAAAACTCAACTAGATATTTTTTTAATAATGAAATTAAACCAAATCAAATCTTAAAATTTACTTTCCACTTTCATCTTTCAACTGATTTAAAGTGTCAAATGAAACTTTTCTGTTCCTTGCTACTCAAGGTATCTCCTCCATGACCACTTGATTGAATCTTTTTAAGATACTTACTTTAACTAACTCTTAAGAAAGAAAATTATTTAACTCTCACTTTCATCTCTGTTCTAGTGTCTTTTCTCTTCAGGGTGAATCGCTTATGTTTTATTCTTCATCGTTAAGGCTTTTGTAAATCACTTTGGATAAAAGCGTATAATAATAGGAAATAAATGTAAATTCAGCAGCCATCAATTTAATGCATCCTTGCTGAAGAAAATACAGTGTGTGTTTATATATGAATATATAAAATTATTATAAAATCCACATTGTCCCCATGAGAAAAAAAAAAGCTTATAAACAAATAAATAATCTAGAAAGGTTCGTGTAAAGGTAGGTTCAGGATTAGGGGATAGAAAATTTAATTTGCTTATTAAAACAAATGATATGAAAAACAAACATTGTGCAGAGGACGTGGATGGATTTGGTAATAGACGTCTGACAAAAAAAGGGCAAAACTGTATTCGTAATAACCTCATGCCTGAAGGACAAGCAAGGCTGGAGTGTCTAGAAGTGTCAGAGACAGAGAGAGAGAATCAACAGGACAAGGGAACTTGTCTGTCGGACCTGCTCATCTCAGAATGACCGGAATGCAGGAAGGCTTGAAAAGAAAGAGCATTTAAATTGCAGCAGGAGGATAATGACAAAGACGGTGGGAAAGACAGACAGAAGCAGGAGTAATAGAGGTAGGGATAACAAACAGGACAGGACAGGGAAGTGAAAATTCGACATGGTGAGAAGAGACTCTGGATGGGGAGAGAGAGAGGGAGAATAAAAGCATGAGAGAATGAGGAGGGGGGGAGGCAGGATAAATCTGTACAGCATCATGATTAGGTATCAGAAGCTTGTTCTGTGGTCTGGAGAGCAGAAGGCAGATCACATCAAACAGATGAGACACTCAGCACATCTGCTCTACAAACTGGACAAACATAATTTGTGAATTTGCATTTATGTATGTATTTATTCTGGATTGCTTTCATGCTGTTCTCAGCCAACACTACAAAAACTCCAAACATTTTGCAACCCGGACTAAATCCAAAAGCGACACCTGTGGATATAAAAGATTCTGAAGATAAGCAACACATTTCGACTAACTGAGAAGCATCTTCATGGACTTCCTGCTCAAAATCAGCAGACTACAACTCCAGAGACGGAAAAGGTCATACACAGCTCCAGTCTTTCATTCGAATCTATTTTAATCAGCTGTGCTCACTTCCCAGCATCCTTCTCATTTCATCATGATTATTCCCCAAGGTTGGGGAACTAGGTTGGAGCGGGCGGAGGCTATGGATGAGCGGTTTGATTGAAGATGAAGGGTTAGTCAATGCCAAAAACTCAAATTGTTTTGACTGAAACATACTTTCTCAGCTTCTGGTTTACATGCTACAGGCATATCACAACTTTAGGCATAGGTAAACAAGACCCACGTGAGATGTATTCAAGATTTATAGAGTAAGACACCACCTCACGCATTCGCACGCCAATCTGTGAGCGCAGGGAGTCACCGCCACTCAGCTCCCCACCTGCTCTCGCACCTTTCCTCAGTCAGGGATCACAACTGCAACTCTCCAACTGTCTCTCATCGGCGTCACAAGCCGGCGAAGCTGCTAACAGCTGTTTCTCCTCTTTTTTTGGATACTTGTCTCTCTATTTCTCACTAATTCCTTCCATCTTTTTCCTCACCGTGTCAATGACACCATATTCAGTTTGACCCTCTTTGCCAGGAAGAGCGAGAGAGAGCGAGAGGGAGAGAGATGCCATCACCACAGCAGGGTCTTCAGCTGCCACACAAGTAGACTCACACAAGTGTTGAGAGAACGAGAGAGAGACAGTGCGAAAGATAGAAAAGGCCAAAAGGAGGTGAGAGGAAGCAAAGGCGAGAAGAGGAAACAAGAGGAGGCGGAGACGCACAGCTGAAGAATGTACAGCTTGGGGTCAGGCTCGGATGCATCTAGCTGGCACAGGTAAGGGAATTCTTTTTCATTCAATCTGCTGTTGACAGCAAACATACAGCTTCGCTCGACCTTTGTGCGTGTGTCCATGGAGAGTGGCTTTCCATCTCTGGGTCTTGCATGTGTGGCGGGGGGAAATGCCTGCGGGGCTAAAGCTGCCGTAGTTAACAGGTGGAGCGCCGCTCTCTCTCGTGGCTGCTCGCTCACGGAGTGCATAAACAGTCCTTGAAAGCGTAACCGGCAGAGTGAATGGGATTCTGGAGACCTGAATGCTTTCTGACACACATACCTGCACTGGGACTTTCTTGGCATTGGGAATGACAGATGTACATATATCAGCTCACAGTCTGTGTGAGTGACGCTGGACTAATTTACACACATTTACAACAGGAGAAAGAGGGAAAGTGGGTCATTCATGACAAATTGGGTTAAAAAACACCTGTTTTTAATCATAACGTCTTTCAATTTGTAGTAAAAAGCTAGCAAAGGTGGGTGGAAGGTTTTTTTAACTCAATAATCATGCTTGAATATTATAGATATATATACAAATTGGAGACAGGAGACTGGCCAAGGTCAAAGAAGGGAAATTGATTTTCTTGCGGTGTTGATGTTTTCCTTATGATTTATTTTCCTCACAAATGGAATGTGACATCCTCTAAAGCCCTGTTTGAGTTTGACAGACAAAATGAGGTTTACCTTTAACGTATGTGCAGTATGTGCGTATTTATTTATTCATACATTTCAGTTTGTCATAATAATGCTTCTAAATAGATTAGAAGTGATAGAAAGTGAGAGATAGTGTCAAAGTATGTACATTCATAAACATCCTGAGTCATTTATCACTCAAGTGTCATCTCTGATAATCCTGTTATAGGTATGCTGTTGTTGATGTGTGGTTTTGTCTCAAGAGAAAATGAGAGCCTACTTAAAAGGTCTAACATGTTAATTTGATTTATTTATTACAGACACTCCGGCCCTTCTTAGCATTCAAAAGACAGAGCCGTTGATTGTTGCTGAAATGCTCATCTGTTAATGTCCAATCGCAACTGTTTGGAGTGTGACTAATACATCACTATTAACATCCGATTCTGTCTGCGCCGCCACACAGGATACAAATGCTGGCAATGGTGATACTACCGTCTGTATTTCAATGTCATAATCTGTTTTCATTTTATAGCAGACTCACTGAAACCTGTATGATTATGGCTGAACTGGTGAGATCACAGAGGTTTGGAAAAGCCAGCTGATATGCAATACATGTAGATTTGGGGAACACTAATGTGTGCTCTGACCATGACATTCTGAGCTCTTTCACCTTGGATCACTGTTAAAAATGTATACAGCACACGGTGGGTTTGTGTGGAATACTAAATAAGGATGTGATCTGTTTTTAAAAGAGTTGCTCTACGGCCACACCGACCATGAGTCGTCACTGTAAACGAGTGATATATGCAGTTTCAGTGTACCTGTGTAGCTTAGAATTAGCTTTATGTGTGACAAATTTGAGTTTTAGGCCAGCAACTTAACTGCTTCTTAAATACTTACAAAATACTTTTAAAGTAATGTTAATAGTGTTTTTTTTGTGTGTGTGTCCGTGGTCCATTGAGTTTGTTTGATTAGCAGTTGCTCACACAGTGGTTGAAGCAGCTGGTAACATCTGGACAGTTGGGATTCTGTTGTAACTTTTGTGGCCGAAGCTTAAAAAGGAAACTTACCATGATCCCGCTCTTCTCCTGTGTGATTGATGGCTCCTGTTCCACATTACAAAAAGCAGACAGATCGCTCATCGAAAGCCACGTTAAGACTAGGAATTAGCTTTGTTAACTTCATTCAAGTGAGAATGTGTTTGCGATTGTTGCTATAAATAACAGCGATAGTGTAACTCCAAATGTAATTCAGCTTTAAACTTGCTAACACTCTCGCTTGTGGCGGGATTTTAACTCAGAGACACATACGTCGACAGAGCGCGCAAGATGTTAATTCAGTGCTAATATAACACCATCTGGATGCTGTGTATGACAGTCCATGTATGTTTTACAGCTCTTTGATTGTCATTTTTGATGGTCACAGATGTCTGTCTAACCACAAATGCAACCAGTTCTGCAAATGTCTAGTTTGTAGTTGGAGCAAAGCCTAATCTACAACCATTTCAAGTTGTGCTTAACGGGACGTAATCCTATATACTATGATTTACCAGATGAGACCAGATATTTTATTTATTTATTTTTTCTTTCAGTTATTTTAATATTTTCAGATTATTGTTTTGTGGTAAGGAAATATTACTGTAACTATTATTATTTCTGTTAAACCAAATAGTTTTGATGCATTAGAAATGGTTTTCTCTTTCAAATATGCACATTCTTCTGTGTGATGTCTGTTCATTTGACTGCTATTTAAATTACAGTTTATTTTATGGTATAAACTCAATGGCGGATGTGCAGGTTGTAGTTGTAGATGTAAAATGTATTAAAAGCCATTGTGCTTTAATCAGCTTCACCTATCAGATGCCGTGTGGACAGCTGGCACCCACAGCTGGTGTTTTACTTTGAAAATATTTCTATCTGCGATTATCTACATGGAAGGTGCAGATTAAATTTTGCGACGAGTCGTGTTTATGTGTAATGCTGTGAATCCAGGCAAGTGCCTTACAGTAACACAGGCACCCCTGTGCATTTATCACAGACCTACATGATCACTATTTATTTATTTATTTTTTACATTTACTCAAGTGCTTCGAATCGCAGACCAATCCTGTCCAATGATGGCGTAAAATAGAATGAATGGCAGCTGTTTTTTTGCCTGACATTGATGAACCCTTTTATTTTCATTATTTTGTTGTTTTGTTTGAAATAAGAGCACATGCTCTTGCTGTGTGATGTGATTGTCCATAGGATCTATGGTCAAACACATATCAAAGTGTCCATTTTTAAAGAGATCTGAGGACTTGAAAAGAACATGAGAAGATCACATCTACAGCAGATCTAACAACCTAAAAACGGCAGTGTGAATATATTATTGTGCAGCAGCCTGACTCTGTGTGTGTGTGTGTGTGTGTTCCATTTGCTGTCATCAAAGCAAGGCTGCAGGTGTCTCACTGCTGTTCACAGTGTCACGTGCAGTAGGCCCATGAACACACACTCTGAAGACATCCAACATAGGGGTGTTTCTTCATCTATTGGCACTTGTGTCCCAGGGGTTCATTGTTATTAAAACTAACTGTTTTTTTCTTTGTTATGTTAGGGTCACATGAAATGTGTCTTGGAAACTTTTCATCAGGCATTCATCATTTGTTTTTCATACTTTTTAAATGCCCTTTTTGTATACATTTTATTGTTTTTTTTTTCTTTATCCAAGACCTAGATTTTCTGCTCATATCTTAAAAAATGTAAATTCATTACAGGTGCATCTCAATAAATTAGAATGTCGTGGAAAAGTTCATTTATTTCAGTAATTCAACTCAAATTGTGAAACTCGTGTATTAAATAAATGCAATGCACACAGACTGAAGTAGTTTAAGTCTTTGGTTCTTTTAATTGTGATGATTTTGGCTCACATTTAACAAAAACCCACCAATTCACTATCTCAACAAATTAGAATATGGTGACATACCAATCATCTAATCAACTCAAAATACTTGCAAAGGTTTCCTGAGCCTTCAAAATGGTCTCTCAGTTTGGTTCACTAGGCTACACAATAATGGGGAAGACTGCTCATAGGTCTTCAACCCTGCTCCTGGTGACCCACTGTCCTGCAGAGTTCAGCTCCAACCCTAATCAAACACACCTGAATCAGCTAATCAAGGTCTTCAAGATCACTTGAAAAGTCTCAGGCCAATTTATTGAGATGCACCTGTGTACCATAGGTCTTCAACCCTGCTCCTGGTGACCCACTGTCCTGCAGAGTTCAGCTCCAACCCTAATCAAACACACCTGAATCAGCTAATCAAGGTCTTCAAGATCACTTGAAGTCACAGGCCAGGTGTGCTGAAGCAGGTTGCAAATAAACTTTGCAGGACAGTGAGTCCCCAGGAACAGGGTTGAAGACCTATGCATTATATAAACAAAAAACATAAATTATTTCCATATTTATTGTGTGAAAATTATTTGTATTCATATACACAAATTACTGTCCAGGTTGCAGCTTCATTTCCATCATAATCAACAATTTTACCCCTAATAATTATTTTTCCTTTTTTCTCCCCAGAGTTTGTGTAGTTTTGTTACAAATTGGACAATAGTGTAGGCGAAGAGCATGCTTGAGATGAAATACATTGTTATTTTAGTATCATTGAGATATTATTATAATTTTTATTAATATTTTGAATTAGTTGATTTATTTTTAATGTATTTTTTTACATTTCCATTTCTATTTTAATTTTAAAGTTATAGTAATTTTTTGTGTTTTGTCATATTTCAAGTTTTTCTTTTAATATTTCTATATAGTTTTATTAATTTTGCATTGTAGTTATTTAATCAAGTTAAACTAAAAAAAAGCTAATATATAAATATTGCCTGTTTTATTTTATTTTATTTCAGTTGTTTTTTTTTGTTTTGTTTTTCATGGTTTTACTTTTTCTTAACTAACCCTGGATGAAATATGAAAACAAATAAAAAAGGTAAATGGAGGTAACTGTAAACAGAATATTTTTATTGTGCGTCATTTGCAGTCAAGCTGTAATTCTGTCAAATTAAGTGTGAAAATTAAATTATTCATGAAAAGTAATATTTTATTTGCAACTTTACTCCATATTTAAAATGTAATTTACACCACAGAACTGTCACCACCATGGACTTTTAGTTTGTTTTCTTCCCTCATGTTTTCCCTCGTGTGTTGATTAGTTCATTCTGTTCACCTGTGTTCTGTTAATCTAGTCATTAGTGCCTCGTTTGATGTTACCCTGTGTGTGAGAACTTCTTCATCTTGTGGATTATCTATTAAAAGGATTTATTTCTATTATCTTCATCGTGCCTTCATCCTTGCAGCAGTCGGTATGACAAGAATGCTATGGACCTTTTTCACATTTCCGGGTTTCTCAGCAGCGGTAGTCGTCATAGTTGGGTTAACTTGAAGAGCAGTGAATGGGAGAGTACCACAAATATATTTTTTGCATTCCCATTTGCTCAAATAGCAAAAGAAAAACTCCACGATAGTGTTTTCATTACTTTCAATAAAAGGAAAAAAATTGAGAGAGACTGATAACGGCAGTCAGAAGAGAGAACTATGTCAAATTTACTGTACTTCCCAAAGACGCTGCATTAGAAACACCCTCACATTAGCATTAACTGTTTTTTTTTGTAATTTGATGCAAAGGTGATATAATACAAAGAATAGTGTTATAAATGTACATACATTTAAAAAAAAATACAAATATGAAAAACTTTTGAGGATTTACGATGCTGATGACAGTTAAACGCGTCATCACAGTCTTGTGAAAAGGGTCCATTGCTGTTAAACACAATACATTGTTTGAGATGTGCTGGAAAAGACACATGTGGCGGAAATGGACACTGTTAAACACAGTTAGCAGACAAAACTAATGAGAGTGTGCAAAGTGTGTTTTAAGACACTCCACAGGACCAGAAGTGCCTAGTTAAAGAAACACCCCTAAATATATATTTTTGAAATGAAAGGTGCTCTTTTTTCACTCCTCTCTGTCGTGTTCCCTAGAAACTCACGCAGCTGTTGCTATGTTAACTCCACTGCTCGGCTAAGTGTGAGGATTTTGTTGAGTTACGAGCATACAAATATGTTCATTGATGCTTTGCCAGTATTGAGTGGAGTTTAAACAGTATCTTTTTAATGAGGGTTTAAAAAATAAAAAAAAGGCAGACATAGACCATGACGGTTTTAACTCTCTCTGAGCGTCTGGGTTTCTCATGGCAAGTCTTTTGTTTGGTTTTGTTGCTTTTGCAATTGGAATGCTTCTCCTTAGATCTCCTTTCTTACTTCACCATCTGTCTTCCACTTGTGCAGAAAGTACTTGTTGTGATTCCACATTGGGTGAGGAGTGTTGCTAATGAAGACCATAGGAAAACAATGCAGTACAAAGCATCAGAGCGAACGAGCAAATCCACATGCATTCTTACTGTAATATATCCTTAATGTAGTAAGTAATTAGGTTTATTAGAAGCCAGATGTATTCATGGGAGCATTTTAAGGAACATGATAGCCATCACAATGTGAGTGTTGCATTTATCATGCATAGTAATTAAACTCCATGGTCCAACAGCTAGCTCTGATAGTTTAATAGGCTGCGGTGTCATAGTCGTAAGATGCTGGCATGGATGGATGGGCCTAACCTTTAAGATTCTAATTCAAGTGCATCTCATCAGATTCTAGTTTTGTTTGCTGTTGAAAAGAAAGTCCTCGCTCTGTTTTACGAGCCAGTTTTATTTGTGTGTACTGTAACACACTTAGAAGTGTAGCGGTAGCCTTATGGTTAAAGTTCAGCTCTGGCAGCGCAAAGGTTCCTGGTTCATTTCCAAGTAGCAGTGACCCAGAAACCAGAGAGTTATTGAGATCTCTATTATGCTCTATCACCATGGATACCAGTAATGCACTTGACCTGAGCTCGCTCCAAGGGGCCTGTGCTTGAAATTAATAGACTTTAAGGTCTATATGGTCGCTTGTAAGATCAAGACAAGCTACATATGCTATAGAATTGTGCACTATATAGATATCTGTGTTTCACAAACTGGCAGTGGTGTGAATTGGAATTATTAAACAAGCATTCATCAGATGACTCGCACCATCTGCAGGTTGAGAGATCAGGGACTGACCCCTGTGAAATGTTGAGAGCTGAGTTTAGATGTGATTCCCTACTGGATTCATTGTAAACCTCCCACTCAGCCTGCTAATGGCCTGTTGTGTCACAAAGGCACATGCATGCTGTGACCAGAACACATGCAATCCGAGATTATGAGTGACAGAAATAGACATTCAGACCACATGAATGGTTTTTAAACACAGGATTACTATGCATTAAACACATTTGTACATTTAATTATGTACAATTTCATATTGTGTATCTGTCAGTTGTCTTCAGTAAGATAAATTAAAATTAAATAAATCACATTTTTATATTCAAATTAATGCTGTAAATCCTCAAATATTTAATCAAAATAATCTCAGTTTATTTGTATTTTTTATTTTTTTTTCAATGTTTATTATAAACCCGGAGGGCAATTTTTTTGTGCAGCAGTTAATGTTTATGCATTAATTTCTTTTTTTTACCAACTAAAATATTGTTTTATTTGTGTAATTATTGAGTTTGGCAAATTTGTGTGAATGACACTTGAGGCATATTATATATTTATGTACATAAATAACACTAGACTGAGGTAGATTTCTACAGCAGTTCTTTTCATCTGTGTCACTCAGGCTTCTCTCTTGCTCACAGCAATGCAATACTGTGTCCTATTTTCATCTCATCACAGAACACACAGAAATCAATATTGCTAAATCACTGCGGCTTGTCACTCATTTTCAAGTCTCCCCTGATAATAATGTAAAAAATAATGTAAATGTACACTACGGTTCAAAAGTTTGGGCCTGATGAGTTTATTTAATGTTTTTGAAAGCAGTCTCTAAAGCTCAAGGCTGCATTTATTTGATCAAAAATACAATAAAAACAGTAATATTGTGAAATATTGTTTTTACAGTTTTCTGCTTTAATATATTTTGACATATAATTTATAGCTATCTGTGATGGCAAAAGCTGAATTTTCAGCAGCCATTACTCCAGCCTTCAGAAATCATTCTAATATGCTGATTTAGTGATCAAAACACCTTTCTTGTTATTATCAATGTTGAAAACAATTGTGCTGCTTTACAGTTTTTGAGGAAACTGTGATACTTTTTTTCAGGATTCTTTTGATTGTTTAAAACTAATGCAAATTCTGTATATAACAAACTGTAATAAAATGCATTGAATCTCAATCACATATCAACGTTAATCTGAAATAATAATAATAAAAAAAAAATGTTAAATTAAATCGAAATAAATTTCCCAACACTTTATGGACTTTTTTGTAGACTACTTTATGGTTTTTACTGACCAATGGCAGTGAACATTTTTGGAAAACCTGTAAATTATACACACTTAAAAGAGAACACATATCTGACATTCTCCAATCTGACAAACAAGTAACCATTCTGAAATGTGCTTGTTCTTTCTCTCTCTCTCTCAGGCTCTAGGAGGCTGAAATGGCCACTCCTCAAGGGTGTTGGGGTTCCTCTCTTCAACTCCTCCTCTTCTTTCATCTGTTACTCAATGTAGTGCCTCTCTGCCGGGGACGTCCATTCTTCGGCCCTCCTTCGGTCAACGTGGCTGTGGTTTTCAGTGGTTTGGCCCACCACAGTGAGATCAAGGGCCGTCTGAGTCCAGAAAACTTCCTAGACATGCCCCTGGAAGTGAACCCCATCACCGTGTTGGTGAATGACACTAACCCCAGGGCTTTACTCACACGTCTCTGTCAGACTATGGCTGCAGAGAGCCTCCACGGAGTGGTGTTTGAAGATGACGTGGACTCAGAAGCTGTGGCACAAATCTTAGACTTTATCTCCTCTCAGACGTCCATCCCCATCATAGGCATCAGTGGAGGTTCTGCAGTAGTCATCCCACATAAGGTAAGTGTTTGAAAGGTGGCAGCGGTAGATCTTGGGGATCTGTCAGCTGAAAGGAAGATGGTTTAATAAGTAATGGGGGATTTCCTGAGATCAGAATCCATTGAACACTTATTACGAAAGGATTGTCTTTGCAACTAGGTAGGGAACCTTTGGATCACCTAACAATATATTTTAATTAAGTTTATTTTTTACTATTTTTATATTTAACCAATTACAGAAAATTTTATTTACTGGGTCACATTCATGAAACACAAGCAGATCCAATTTCTGTACAAATGATTCATAAAGCTTTCATAAACATAAAATACATAAAATGATCATTTAATTAAATGACTGAAAATTGTGAATTGTGAAAAGTTGTTCAAATGGTTTTCTTTGGAACAAACACATTTCTACGTAAATCATTCGTAAAGGTTTTTGTACATAACTTTTGACAATTTATGCAGAAAAAAATGAATGATTTACACCGAAATGTGCAGAAATATATATATAAAATCATTTATAGAACTTTTTATATGTAAATTGTCACATTGAATTAAATTCACACAATTTACACTCCAAAATTGAATGGATTTACACCGAAATGTGTTTGTTACACCGAAAATCATTTGTCAAAACTTTTTGTCCATAAATGTCACATAGTCAAATGCAGTAATTGTACACACAAAGCATTTTACAAATGATTTAAACAAAAATTGGCTTGTGTTTCATGCATGAGGTTCAATGTGTGTGCCAGAATAAAAATTAAGGTTCATAAACATTACCCAATCATCCACACACATAAACAAAAAATGTATTAGAGTTATTATAATACAACAACAAAATCCCCTGAGCTTTACTCAGAGATGCAGTTAAACATACAAACCGTATATACATCAAAGCATGAAAGAAAAACATCATATGTATTTCAAATATCAAATCGAGATTCAATCATGGGTATCTGTGAAATCATTTCAGGAACGCTGTTCTCACAGCTCTTATTAGACACAGCAAGTCAGAAATAACTGCTGTGAGGTCGAGAAACGTTAGCATGTGCATGTGGTTTGTGTGTGTATTTTTCAGCAAGCCCCCTGCAATGATATGCTATTGAACAGCTGTGTGGAAAAGTGATTTTGTGCTGTGTGAAAATCAATAGGTGTTATGATTTGTATAACCAGCAACCAACAGTTGTGTCCCATTTTCCTCTGATTACTGAGATGTGGAAACTTCTGAATAACATCAAGAAATAATATAAAATTACAGCTGTTAAATGCCCATTTTTAAGGCAACTGCATATAAGACTTTTTCATGACAGTAATTTTACATACAGTGTGTAGTGAGGGCATTTTGTGTACATTTATTGAGAGTCTGGTGGCAGCCTAAACTGTGAATGAAATAAAAACACAGTCTTATCTGTTATTGGGAAGGAACAAACACAAAGCAGTCTGAACAATCACACAAACGTCTTGGTTTTCAAGAAACTTTTTTGAGAAACTTTCATTATTCCATCTCTAGAAAACAGCCATACAGGTTTGCAACAGCATGAGGTTGAGAAAATGATGACAGAATATTCATTTTTGGCTTAAATAATCCTTTAATTTGAACAATTATTACTAAAAGCATGTGCAGCTGTGTTGCTTTTTTATGGTTTAGAGCACGCTGTGAGGATTTTGCAGCATCTGATATGTGAAATCTACAACACTCAAAAAGTACGCTTTTTAGATGTAAAACAATCATTACACATGCAGACTGGCAAAAGATGTATATCTTTAAATGAGAAACACAATAGCCCTTGATTTAATGGGGCAGATGAGTATCTTCAATACCAGCAGTAGAGTGGAGGACTCCTTCCTGCCCAGCTGTCATTTTTCAAATGCCTTTCAGATTCGCACGATGTGCAGAAAAATGTTGATAAGGTGGGGAAAAAAGTGGAACAGAAAGCCAAAAATATGCATTTGTCTCCAATGCCAGATCATTGTTTAAGAACTGGATTAAAATGAAGCATTCTGGCAGGGATTAATTTTTCGAGAGTTTAACCGTAGAGCGTGAAATATAAAGATCCTGAATAATTTGCCAAATCTTTTGAACAGCCCAGTGACCATATTCTTATTTTTAATAAATCTCTTGCTTCCTTCATATTTATCATTTCCAATTCTCATTTATCTAATACAGTTATAATATTTTGGACAGAACTCTAAAAAAAAAGGATAGAAAATGTATTAATTCTGACTTTAATATCAGTCAAATCAAATCAATCAAGCTGCCACAAAGAAATAGCATAAAGCTGTGAACCATATTTCATGGCACTCTAAACAACCACACTTCCAGATTATGGATTAGGCATTTAATCTCCTTTGAGAAATGCATGCATATCATATCATATAAATTTGATGCGATTATACAATTCCTTTGTATAGGCATGTGGTGGGCGGAGTCAGAGACATGCGACAGCCTGTTCTACTTTATTCGAATCTGGTCATTCTACAGCAAGACAAACCAATGTATATTGCACATGTAAATCCCATGCAATTGAATAAACTGTTCCTGATTATTTTTTCTAGCATGAGGGATTGGACTGGAGGTCACAAACATCTGGTATGGGACTTCTCATGAAATCCCAGTAGCATGGAACACTGTGTCAATGGCCAAGTGCCTTGCAAATAAATAAAGTGAGCTTAAAATATCACTTTTCAGGGACTTCCGGTGAGAAGCGCAATGGAGTAGACGTGTTTGTCTATCTTCCCCGTCTAGCTTCGTTTATTCCTTCAACTACCCCACCGACTTTTTCGGACAAACTATAAAAACTAACAAGACGACTTTTGGATAACAGTGTCTGTCTAAAATGGCAACCAAAACGGCAAAAACATCTAAGAAAGAAGCCAACACGAGAGCCGAGGCGCCCGCGACCTCGGGCGAAGTGAACATGGCGGCTCTAACAGACTTGCTGGAAGAACATAGAGCGGCCTTGGCGGTTGAGTTCAAGGCTGCGATCTCAACATTAGAAGTGAAACTTGACTGTGTGCAAGCTACGGTATCCGATCATGGATAGAGACTTACCACGCTTGAGTCCCATGCGGAGTCACTAGATGAATGGGTGGAACGTCTAGAAACTTCCCTCGCAACATTGACGGAGAGTAACGCAAAGCTCAAAGCCAAGACCGCTGATCTGGAAGCGCGGAGTAGACGGAACAACATAAGGATCATCGGAGTGCCTGAGTCGATAGAGGGTCCGCGGCCAACGACATTTTTCTCCGAGTTGCTTTTTGAAGTTTTTGGCGATCAAATACTATCCCCCCCGAGCTAGATCGAGCGCACAGATCCCTCACTGCTAAACCTGGGCCAGCGGAGAGACCAAGAGCAGTTGTGGTCCACTTTCATCGCTACCTGCTAAAAGATAAAGTAATTCGCGAGGCACGTAAAAAACGAGGCGAACTACAGTATCAAGGGAAACCAATCGCCGTCTATGAAGATTACAGCCCTGAAGTAATGGAGCAACGGGCTCAGTATCGTGACGTCATGGCCGAAATGTACAAACAGGGGTTTAAACCGGCTGTTTTATATCCGGCGAGGCTTCGAATAACAACCAAAGAAGGGAGCAACAAGTGGTTTACATCGGCGGAGGAGGGCAAGCGGTATTTGGATTCTCAGCGCGGCGGTTCTCAATAATCTGGTGTGCCTGACATTTGTGCCAAGAAGCGGAGCAATCCTATGCTGAATGGCATCTTTGTTATTCACTGCTAAACCTAAACCAGGGGAGAGACCAAGAGCAGTTGTGGTCCACTTTCATCGCTACCTGCTAAAAGATAAAGTAATTCGCGAGGCACGTAAAAAACGAGGCGAACTACAGTATCAAGGGAAACCAATCGCCGTCTATGAAGATTACAGCCCTGAAGTAATGGAGCAACGGGCTCAGTATCGTGACGTCATGGCCGAAATGTACAAACAGGGGTTTAAACCGGCTGTTTTATATCCGGCGAGGCTTCGAATAACAACCAAAGAAGGGAGCAACAAGTGGTTTACATCGGCGGAGGAGGGCAAGCGGTATTTGGATTCTCAGCGCGGCGGTTCTCAATAATCTGGTGTGCCTGACATTTGTGCCAAGAAGCGGAGCAATCCTATGCTGAATGGCATCTTTGTTATTGGAACTATGTAAATTAGGAGCTGTATTAATCTAATACAGATTTCGGTTATCTGTTTTACAATGCCCTTTCCTACTGTCTCGTAGCAGAGGTTGTTTTGCACCCGTTCAGATTTAACGCCCTCTATTGCCTTTGAACTGCATTAGAAATTGTATAGTCGTTGTATGCCATATTTTTGATTGAACAAGCTTTATTCGATGGGCTGTTAAAGTACATTTTTATATATTATTTTGCGTTTGGGGGTTAAAATGTGTTATTGGGGAAATATAAGGTTTGCAGTATAAATAGGAGTGAAAAAGGAAGTAAGGTATTCGGAGAGATATGGAAGTTATTGGTTGGATGTTTAAGGGGAGATTAGAGGTATCTGACTATTTTTACGGATGTTTTTTTTTTTTTCTCCTCCCTCTTTTGTATTTATCTCTTTTCTGCATCACATGGATCAGGGTCTTACAATAGTTATTCATGATTCAAATGGCTGGTAATACAATAATATCAAATATAAATATTAATTTTATCTCTTGGAATGTAAAAGGTTTAAATAACATCGTAAAGACCAAAAAAGTTCTTTCACATTTACAGTCCCTTAAAGGAGATATAATCTTTTTACAAGAAACCCATCTTCGCACTTCAGATGTTTCTCGCATTAAGAGTGCATGGATAAGTCACTGTTTTCACTCCAAATTTGGTGTGAAGGCAAGAGGGGCAGCGATCCTTGTGCATAAGAACATTGCTTTTGAACCGGAATCAGTGGTTTCAGATCCGAATGGTCGTTATGTGATTGTGTCTGGAATCTTACAAACAATTCCAGTTGTTTTAGCATGTATATATGGCCCCAATTGGGACAATGATAGTTTTTTTTGCTCATTTTTTTTTCTGTACTCC